AATGATTTTCCGGCTGGTTCTGGACGTTTCTACACTCATAGGAGGATTTAGTGCAAACAAACGAGACTTCTTAACTATTACCACGATTCGTAAATAGTTAATGAATCGTGGCAACAATTAAGAAGACTCGTTTGGTGCGAATAAATCATTCCACCTTTTATCGTGGTCTTAACCTTCCTGAACTGGCACTCGACCGCCAACCGAGTCAACTGGCTCGGTTAGCAAAGTGCCGCCCGTGCATTTTTAGTATTTGTGAAAGAAAGAAATGAAAAAAATGATTAATTTTGGGTTTAGAAGAAGGTTTGAATTTTCAGTGAATAAGAAATAACGATAGAATGAGGAAAAAAGTCGCGATCAATGCAAAAAGTTGATGTGATTTTCGGCTGAAATGAGATTTTTAGAGGTTAAACACGGGGACTCTGAGCGATTCGAATTTTTAAACTTTTTGGGTAAACAATCAGAATAAGTGTGAACGGAATAAAAATTGCCAATCAATTCAACATAGTTGAGAGTAGGCATTGTAATTTGTTCAGATTTTTATTGGCTCTCATTTCATTGAAAAAAGAAAAATTCGAAAATGAGCGGCACAATACTCATTGAGCCAGTTCAGGAGGGTTAAATCCACGGTGGAACCCATGAAAGATGCGCCTCGAAAATGCCGTATATCCACGGTAAAAATAACCAGGGCTTAAAAAGAGCACTAGAGGCTTAAATTACCTTATTTGGTCCGTATATCCACGGTAAAAATTACCGTACATCTACGGTAAAACTACCGCATATCCACGGTAAAAACTCCTGTATATCCACGGTAAAAATGACCGTGGAGCGTGTGGATAGACACTTTCTAAAAAATACACACAGCGATATCTTTCCTGTCTAAAGGAATTTGATCTTCTGCTATCCTTTTTTTGATTGTGTCACCATTCCTAGCGTGTGCAATTGCTGCTCTAACTTGGTGTCGTTTTACAGTGAAATTGTGTTCCATGAGTATTGCAACTGATGGATATTAATCTTAGGCCCCTTTGACCTTCTCTGAATTTTGCCGTCGAATTGAGTGGGAAAGCATTAGGGGAATTCGTCAGCGATTATTGCCTGCATTAGTGGTGTTTTGCTGAAAATTTGTTGGAAAATGGCCATTGGGACGGTGCTACAGTACATTGTTGTACTTAAATTGGACTTCTCAAATGTTCGAACCATATCTATCGTATATTACGAATATTTTATTATATACCCATGCCACCCCGTGAAATTTAATGATCAGATGGTAACTTTCCCAATTTAAGTTATTTTTATACGCGGATTTTTATAAAAAAAATCAAGCATATCGGTGTAATTATCAGCAGTAACCATTTTCGACCTAGTATCAATATATGTTAGATTTTGATAACATCCTCCTTCACCAACAGAATAAAATAATGAATTAATCGATGGTTCGAGTCTTCTAGAACTGGCTTCGTTTTAATGAAAAAAAAGCGATGATGAGACTTTCTCAGAGAACCAATTGTTTCCAACTTTCTAAGATCTAAAATACGTTTGTGGAATATCCCCATCTATTGTAGTTGAGGGAATAACTATACCACTCCATTAGACTGTTTAGCATGTGACGGCACTAACCAACGTGAACCTCAAAACTTGAAAGATAAACCGTAGACTTATCCATAACTCGATGCGAAACTCAAAACAGCCGGAGTGTTGTCACCTTCGGCCGCTGCTCCTCGATGTCCCCCACGAAAATCCTCGAAAACCGAATAAACGAAATAAACGGGAAAACGAGAAAAATGGTGTCGGGCGCCAGCTGACTTTTGTTCCAGCGGTGTCAACGAACCGCATTAAAGAGAACCATACGAAAACTTAGCCATAATTGGGGAGATCAAGGGAGAGGTTGCGGAATTAGCTCGACTAGCTCGGAGGTATTCGGAGAGCGGGGTAGGATCGGTCGCTCGGTCTTAGGAAGGATGTCGCGAATTTACCAAAAGATACAGAAAAATCAAAAGGAAGAATCAGAAAATTAATTACTGAGTGCTGGAGAATCCGAAGGCTATATCAATTCCAATGCGATGATTTCGGCGAATCTCCTCAGAATAATAAATGACAATTAATGGGCGAGGGACTCTAATATGCAAATGTCACTTAAGAGTGCCATTTTGCACCCGCATTCGAGTCCGTCCCTTATCAAGAGCGTCGTGGCGTCACAAGAAAATTCCTGGAGCTCACGAGCTTCACTGTCGTGATTTTCGGGGTCTCGTCTTCCAAGAAATCTTAAATTAATAAATTGAAACCTTGGGGGAACTTTACTGAGCTAGAAGAGCACTCATTTGAGGCTTCAATTCGCTCTGGAAAGAGGAAAAACCGCCAGGTGCACGACAGCGTCACCCACGGCACGTGGGGAGCATGTGTGCACTTGTGGGCCTGTTTTATCCACTTTTTCCCACTAGAATTGGCACTGGACATTCCCCATGCGTTCTCGAGGGGCCTAGTGAACTAATTACGCACTCAGAAGGTGCATTCATTGTTCACTAGACCTCCAGGTGAACGGAGAGGGCACAATGGCGCCATGGCAGGGCATGGGCCATGTGCGGCCTTTTATTGGGTCTCACTGCCCATTTTCACTATCACTGGAGAGTCACTGGGGTTTTTTATCACTGGGGAGAGGTCTAGGAAGCCGAACGAGGGTTTTATGCACTCACTGGTGCATTTTTCCTCTCGCTCGGAGGAGTCTTGGTGGTTGGGAATGCATCTCGGTGTCACTCTAGTGAACGCCGGTGCACTTTTCCCGGAGGTCATCACTGGGCATACTGGGAATAAATGCACTTCACTCCTCGGGAGAGAATGCACATGGTGAATAAAAATGTACTTACCATGTTCCTCGTGTGGGCCCTCGGCGATGGTCTCTACCAACTCTCTCGATCATTGTCGATATTCTCGGGGATGTCGTCGCAGTGGTTGCTCGGGTCCAACTCTCTCGTGAACTGCGTTTAACCGGCGGGGGTTCTCAGCTGGGTGGCACGACTGGCACACCGTCTAGCTGCCGCTGGGGCGGGCTCATGTAAACGAGCACGTGGGGATTTCAATTTGAAGGGGTTTTAAACTTATTTGGGCATTTCGCCGTTACTTATATTTTTTATGAGTTAACACAAGGGGTTTTTATCCATAATGACTGAACGATAGGTATCTGGAGGTTCGGAAAGACAGTTGTTCGCCTTTTCTCCTCGCGAATGCACTTCACACCTGAGTGAGTGCACTTTTCGCTGCTGTCACTCTCCCGGGAGTCATCCTGGAGTCACCGTGAACAAATCTAAAGAGAGAATAGCCCATGGCGATCCATGCAGACGAGTGGGCTATGTTCATCCACATGGCCTTCCAGCTGCACTGGTGATTCCANGCGTGAGTATTTCACCTCAACCTTTGTGATCAGCAGCCGCACTCAACGAGATCAGCGAGATCTCACCGGGAAGCTCGGTGTATCGGCTCTGAACCGCAGTGGATCGTCGTCCTTCTCAGGATCCGCGAGATTTCAAAATACAAAAACATAACTCGGAAAATACAATTACTGTAAATTTTCCCTCAACCATAAAACCGAAAATCAATCCCCTAAAATCCGAAATAAACCAGAAAGATAACTGAAACTAAAAGAGAACAAAACTTTAATATGACTTGAAACGGAGATTTTACTTTTTATTCGTTTTTAAGGTGTATCGACACGTGAATTTGATTATTTATACAAATCGAACGTTGTATTCCCCGCGAGGCCCTTCCTGATGTTCTTGGAGACCGGTTTCTACGAGCTGGAGCTAAAAGGGGTATTGCATCGCCCTTCGGTAGGGGTGCTAACTTTGGGGTTAAGGAAATCGCGACTCTCTCTCTGAAAAAGTCAAAATAACTTCACACTTACCTACTCACTCTTACGGTTTATTTAGTTCTATGACGAAGTTGTGTACAGGTGGCAGAATTCTCGAAAATTCCGTCACAGGCCTCCCTCCTTCTCGTTCCCTATCCGTTGTTGTCCGTGCATCTGGGGTAGAGGTGATAGTCTCTCGGTTGGTCTAGGCTCCACTAGCCGTGCGAACGTCTGATGGAGTGGAAGAGAAGAGAGAAGTGTGCTGGAAATAAAAGNGAACGTCTGATGGTGTGGAAGAGAAGAGAGAAGTGTGCTGGAAATAAAAGAGAAACCGAACCCACGCCCCTAAACCTAGAGGCGAAAGAAAATGTAGGCTACACGCTAATCTTCCTTTGGAAAATACGGAGCTCCTTCTATTCTCCTCTCTCAGGGAAGTACAATTTACCCTATCCTAATTCTTATTGAATACTCTATGGTGCTTATGACTACGTCAGGTAGAGAGTCGCAGTCCATCTGGAAGCCTGAGGCATCAGTCGTGGCTTCTCCGAAGACTGGAACTCTATCACAGCTAGTACAGTCCATGGGGCTTTGACGGCTTGGGGTCTGGGCTTATTCCGTTCCGGGGAAAAGCTCTCTGGACTTGAAGATGATGCTTGTGAGTTGGAGTCTCGCTAATTGAGGAGCGGTAGGGGTCCGCTGCGACTCAATTGGAGAGGTGCGGGTTTTGGGGCCACTGCTCAGTTGAGGGGCTCCCTTCGGAGTTGTTGGACTTACGGATGGGGGGGATCTCCCCCCTGGCCGGCCACTGCCTTTGGGCATTTAGTGCCCTCTCGAGGGCTCGTATCCTCGTCGCGGTGAAGAGCGACGTGGTGAGTCTTGGCGTTGACGACGGTCATCCTCATGACGACAGTGCTCGTGACCTCGCCGGTCCCCGTGGCGGTCATCACCTCTCTCTGGTCGATCGGGGGAGTAGCGATCTTCCTCCGAGCGTCGCCTTCAAGGCTCATCGTCACGGGCACCTCCGGGGGGTGAACGTCGTCTCCTTGGTGGGCTGGATGGTCGGTCCTCCCTTATGTAGCTCTCTGTCAGCTGCTGAGTGAGGGCTTTCACGAGGCTCAGCATAGCCTCACCGGAGGGATTTGGTGAGCGCTTCTGCTCTCACTCTCGTGAGTGGTCAGAGGAGCCTCTTTGCCTGGGGGATCGTCGTCTCGACGGGGAATGCCTTCGCCTTGGCGAAGGATTTCGTCGAGGTCGTGGAGATGTTGGCCGAGTTCCCTGGGTCGGTCTCTCGGGGGATCGTCGACGTGGGGATTGACGAGCCTGAGAGGGTTGCTGGCGAGGTCTCTCGGGTTTCGCCCTCCGTGAGGTACGCTGAGGGTCCTTGGACTGGGGAGCAGGGACTATTCTCCATTCGCCCCCGAGGGGTGAGGGACTGCGGTTGGTGTGTGCCATGTGTCGGTACTGCAGCCTTCCCCTGCCTCTTCCTTTACTCAGGACTGCACAATGCATATCCCACTGAGGTTCAGGCATGGGTGGTGGAGGTCCTGCTGGGATTTTTGGGGGTGGTTGCACTACCTGAGGGGGTGCTACCTGTGGGGGTGCTGCCTGTAGGGTAGGAGCACTCTGCCCAGTTGGTGCACCGGCCGCTGAGGCTGCGGCGGCTGAGGCTTGGCGTGCGATGGCTGCCTCGATCTGCTTCTGCCTGCCTCCCCTCCTTGTGGGTCTCTTCCTCTTCCCTGGGGCTTCTGCGCTGGGTGTCTCCTCCTTGTCCCAGTCCTCTAGGGGTGAGGAGTATAGAGGGTATAGGGGGTGAGGGCGATCTGGTCGGGTCGCCTGACTCTCCCTCCGGTGTGTCGCTCGAACCTCTCACCACCTCATCTCCTCTTCTACTTGATCGGCCCAGGAGGTAGAAAGCGGATGGTTAGGTGAGGGCCAGAGAGGCGGTACTACCCTGGGGGCGGCCCTCTCAGCTGAGGATCCTGTCGTGGCGGTCGTGGAGTCCACTGAGGTCCTGGGTCTCCTGGTGGCTCCCGTGGACGTTGCGGGTCCCGAGTTTTGATGAGCTGGGGGTGCTACCGGGTTCGGGGGTGCCCCTCCATTACTCGACGCTCCGGTGAGTACCTCCAGCTGTCGGTCGTCCTCCGTCACGTCCATCAGGAGGAGGTCGGAGTTTGAGTCGACCTCTGGGGTCGAGGAGTTCGGGGGCTTGAACTCACTCAACGTCATAGTGTGTAGGCGGTTAAGAGGGATTGAGACCTGGACTTCTGGGCGTCCCTCTGGCTGCTTTGGTCGCCGAACATCTCGGAGGCGCTGGGCCGATTGAGATGAGACGACTTCTGTCGTTGGGGTCTCTTCTCCCTTTTCAATGGGCTTGTCGACCGAAGGTCGAACAATATAATAGTCAAACAAAAAAAAAGCCGAACAATATTAATAAGATAATAGCATTATCCTAATCAACGTATTGATCGATCTCAATATGTCACAACATGTATCATAAAATTTTTGTACAGACACCGTGGAGAACCTGATTGTAATTGTGGGTTCGTCCTGTAAACTTTCAATTCTTATAGTTCGATTAAATCAAATCATCGTCGTATGGAGTGCAAAAGGTGTGAACAAGCATTTCTTTCGCGCCTTTTTGACTGTTTGGTTCTGTAGGCCGACAGCTTACTTTATCGGCTACCTAGCAGACTACATTAGAATTTAGGGCTATGAAACCTAAACTCATAGAAAAGTTCCAAACATTCGATCGAAGATTGCATCAGTCATCGATCGATGCAGTTCTACAAAGTGTAATGCTCACTGCTGGTCCAGATCATTTTGATTTTGATTTTTGATCAGATTCAGATCATCATAAATGATAATTCCTACACCGGGAAAAATCAGACGCTCGTTCAAGGGCGCGGCGCTCATTTCAAGGCATTGCGCCCATAAATGCGTTCAAAGTCGCGCGCCTTTGATTTCAACGAATTTCCGATAAAACGGGCTCTTGAATCAAAGGCGAGAAAATCTTCATTTGAAAGATCTACAAGACTTTGAATCAAGAGCAGAAATTGAGAATGGAAGGGAAGAGAACTCTAACCTAATATTATAAACTAATTGGAGCATAGGGGCAAAATATGGAGTGAAGAAGTGATGAAATGGACTCTCTTCAATTGTCCATATCTCCCGGCTGAATACCGTAATTTGAATAAATCAGATTTTATTTTGGAGTTTGTAAAAACCTTTGAAAATTATGTGAAAAACTTTACTATGCTATTTTCGTTTGATTGATACGTAGATTTGATCCGTTTTACCCCACTATCTTTAGATTTTCATCATTCAGAAAGAAACAAGATGCTAATTGAAAATTAATGAAAAAATATGTGAATAAATAAACAAGTCAGCCTCCAAATGAATCAAACAGAACATATTTTCAGCAAACAGATAAAAAATAAGTCAATAAATTAGAAATAAGGAATTTGAATATTTTCTTTAATCAGGAACAGTACATTATATTAACAATACAGTAACAAAGAACTTAGTTTTATGGTTTTTTAATGGGAATGTAATAGTCAGTGGGAACAAAACGAGTTCCGTCATATCCTGTGTGCATTATATAGAGCTTGTAATTCTTTAAATTTTCCTGGAGAATTATGCACCTCGTTGGAGTTGATTGGACTTCAAAAGATTGAAAATGTTCAGAAAATTGCTTAGTTAATAACAGAGTTATGAAGAAGTGAACAATTGTATCGTTTGTCACGAGGATACATTCAATTTCTCCATATAGGGGCCTCATTAAGGTACTTCCGCAGTAAGTATACTTGGTGAAAATTTCGAAATGGTATAAAGACGCAATATTTGGATCATATGTTGTTGAGCACATTCAAAAACTATTCCCAAAATTTCAAGTACCTTGTCCACCCCATTTTCGAGATATACATCGTCAAAAATGGAAAAAACACAAAAATTGAATGTTTGGCGATGCATATCTCAAAAATGGGGTGGACCAGGGACTTGAAATTTTGGGAATATCTTTNTCAATTTTTGTGTTTTTTTCCATTTTTGACGATGTATATCTGGAAAATGGGGTGGACAAGGTACTTGAAATTTTGGGAATAGTTTTTGAATGTGCTCAACAACATATGATCCAAATATTGCGTCTTTATACCATTTCGAAATTTTCACCAAGTATACTTACTGCGGAAGTTCCTTAAAGCATTTAATAATACCATCATACATGGTTTATATAAGCCTGAAACTGGCAAACGATTCTGGTGAACGATATCCACAACTTTTGGAGCGGACTGTACTGCCGACGCTCCAAAGGGACCGCGGACGGGGGTCAACTTTTTTACCCCCAATTTTTATAAATAATTGAGGAACATGACAAAATATATTTAACACACCCTTACCCCTCCATATGCATACATTATTTGAATGAAAAATAAAATTGCTAAATTTAAATGAAAATTTTTAACATTGGGACATAGAGAGGAGGTGGAGGGGGGATGCATAATAGGGGAGGGTTGAAAATATTACCCAACAGGGGGGGTGGGGGTTGCAGAGTCTCTCTAAGCCACCCCTAGCCCTCCGTTTGCATGCGTTGAATAAATTTTTTTTTAATTAGGCCCGGTTGCGCGCTTCGCGCGCTCTTTCTTTGGGGTATGACCGGTAGGGGTTGGTGGAATTGGGTGTGACCCATTACGGGTCGAACCAATAACGTCCTGACCATTTGTTTTTGTTGACGCTGAGGTCACGCCACAGTGAATGCGGCGCACGCTATACGCAACGCTAGTCATTGTCAGAAATATTCGGAAAACAGTTGGATAATTATTTCATGCGTTGCATGCGTTTAGCGTTGCATCCATTGTGGCATTACCCTTAGGGTGATTTCGCAAAGAACGCATTTGCAATTTAATTTAACTCAAACTTCAATCAAGTTTGAGTTAAACCCACTTTTTACTTGACCCACTTTAAAATTCTCTCAACTCCGAAGCTGATCTACTTAAAAATTTGCAACTTCAAAAGTTGACCCACTTCAAAATTTTCCAACTTTCCCTTTTTTTTTTAATGCAAAATTCGAAAGTTTTATTTAAAAAACTCAACAACCACTGAGGCGATTTTTCTCAAAATCCAATGAGAATCAAGTTATGTGGAGACGCATCGATTACACAGAATTAATTCAAATCCCATCGTTACCTTAGGTAAAATGGTCGGATTTCTATGAAATGAACGCTTTTTTGTATTTTTTTACAAGTTTTATGCGAATAAATAAAAAAACCGCTGAGTCAATTGTTTTCATAAACTAAGCAGTTTCAAGTTACATGAACACGCATCGTTTGAAGGAAGAAAATAATCAATCGCTTCATTCGTTCAGGAGATATCGTTGGACAAAATTTTGGTCGCATACGTACACACACACACACACACATACAGACATGTCTTCAAAAATATATCTGGATAATGGGAAAAGAGGCGCAAAGTGACGGCCAGGAAAAAATTCCAGTGCTGGCTTTAGAAATTTTATTGGGGAAAACGTGAATTTTTCCCCGTATTTCTGTGAAAATTTCACAGAAATCCCCCGAAATTTTGACAGAAATACCAAGAAATTTTACCTTAACAGTACTAGAATTTTTCACAGCTGATGGATTGTGATTTTTTCCAGTACTCATACTAGAATTTTTTTGGAAAATTTCTCACCGTGTGGAGAAATAATCGAAATTCCACATTCGATTTTCGGGGTCATTACAATAACTTCCTTCCTTCGGGTCGGGAAGTTGAAAAGTATTTCGAAGGAAAAACATCTTTGGAATTTTATTTTGTTAATTTCTTGATAAAAAAAAACGAATTTCCAATTCTTGGTGGTTGGGGACGAATTCGACTGACCATGGAGGAAAAAAATGCGAATGAAGTAATTTTTCTAGGTGAATGCAATGAATTTTGAAGAGATTGTCATTCCTTCACATGTTTTATGCAAATAACTAAGAAACTGCTGAGGCAATCGTTCTCATATACTCATTGGTTCGAAGTTTTTTTTAACACTCATAGATTGAAAAAAAGATAATAATCACATCATTTCTCGGTATAAAATCGTTGAATTTTTGTCATTTTCACACATATTTCATGCTAATAACTAATGAACCACTGACACGGTCGCCTTCATACACTGATCACTCTAAGTTACATGAACACGCATCTATTGAAATAAAAAAAAATGAGAATGATAAGATTTCTTCGGATAGAATCATTGAATTTTCACGAAATCGTCATTTTCTACATCTTTTATGCGAATAACTAACCAACCGCTGAGACGATCTTCTTCATACACTGATCACCCCCGAGTTACATCAACACGCATCGATTGCAAGTAGATGTATAGGGCCGGCTCTGGATCAACGTTTCTGGGGCGAGCGCTGGAGACTTGTGGAAGAGGGCCCCGCGAGTGGGTGGTGGGGTGGGATTAATTAATTCGCGGTTTAATTCGCGGTTTTGATTCGTGGTTTTAATTCGCGGTTTCAATTCGCGGATTTTACATTTCGTCGATTCTGGGTGCAAGAAGTATGGGAGAAGCCCCCACGAGTGGGTGGTGGGATTAATCAAGTCACGGCTTTAATTCACGGTTTTCAGCCCCGATTTTAATTCGCGGTTTTCAGTCCCGATTTTGATCCACGGTTTTAATTCGCGCTTTGGTGGGATTAATTAATTCGCGGTTTTAATTCGCGGTTTTAATT